TTAATCAGCTTACCTTAGCTCCCGGAGAAACTCTTAAAATTAACACTACAGAGCCTTCCGCCATTGTTGTAGACAGCCAAGGGAAAAAAAAAATCCTTAAAATAACTACCGAAGAAAACCTCTCGTTTAAAGGGAATTTTGTCAGTTTACCTGGATGGAATTATAGCGTTGCACGAATAGTGTTTTCCAAAAACATCTGGATAGAAGCCAGCTCCATAGTTGAGGTGTTTGGGGAACATTCGCTATCTATCGAGTCTCTGGAAGGAAATATAACCGTTGAAAGTTTGATCGATTTATCTTGTGAAGAGGCTGTGCTGGGTGGGAAGTGTGTTGGAGGATATATGCCCACTGATAAACCCACGAATTGGTCGTCAGCTCTAATACCGGGTAAGCCTGTAAAGTGTATCGACTTACACCCCTCTCAGAAAGGGAAATAACAGGTGTCTGGATCAATCACAAAGTGTAGCTCATTACCATGAGCACAGTTATTTTTGCGTTAGCTTAAATAAAATACATTTTCCTAGTTTCTTCTATAAATCCAGGGTACATATGAAGGAGTAATTATTATTAATGAAGTTATTACTCTGACTCACCATACTTTGGAAAAAAGCAAACAGTTTGATTGCCGAAGAATTAGCAGGTTAATGTGTTCATCCAGGAAAAGTTAGTCCTAAAAGGGAAGGTGACTAACGTTATGAACGCGCGTGAAAGTCATTATAAGAATTTGTGAGGCAAAATCTAAATATTATTTGACTGTAGTTGATCCATCCTGTTTGTTTCTCTGTGAAAGGAAATGGACCAGGGAGCACGAGCAAGGAATACTTAACTAACCAGTCACCACGATGCATCGGTGGAAGCGGACACGGTGGCCGTGGAGGAAATCCAGCGTATGATGATATTCAGGTTTACCTCTACAGTGGCTTAGAGTATGGACGGAATGATTATGAAGTCCTCCTAGGAGGCAGTTCAGGTAAATGTTGAATTTAGCTCTTTAATTTCTAGAGCTCTGTGAGTTTCGTACGAAAGCGTGAACTCTAAGAAAATAAGATGTTTTCCCAGTATCAAGAAAAATCAATGTAAAAGGCTGATTATCTTATTCGGCAGACGGTTTCTGTCCAATTTTAGACTCGAAGTTAGAACGTTACACTTGCTGCCGTTAGGCTTTTGGAACACAGTGACCAAACCTCAAGTCAAAGCAATAACGCAAGATTCATCAAGAGTAACATAGTAAGAAGATCTTTATACCTTGCTCTAGTAAGGTCTCATTTTGGTTATGCAACACAAGTATGGAACCCTCACTCGATAGAACTTATGCGGAAGATAGAGCGAGTTCAGAGGCGTGCGTCGAAGTTTATCCTGGGCTTGCCCTTTCGATGTGAAGAATCTTACAGAAGCAGGCTAATAAAACTGAACCTTCTCCCAATCTCCTACTGGCATGAACTACTCGACATGATTTTCTTTTTTAAAGCAGTATCTGGCTTAGAATATGTAAATTCTGAAGTTCTCCCCCAAATCCGTTCAGCTCGTACCACTAGATCTAATAGCAATCCTAATGTCATTCACTTTCTGCAAAGAAGATGTAAAACAACGACCTTTCAAAGATCGTTTTTCAATAGAACTGTCAGAATTTGGAACTGCCTTGCCAACGATTTGGAACTCTCCTTAAACTTAAATATTAATCGATTTAAGTCTATTCTGTACCAATACTATTTTACCGCTCTATCAAAGTGGTATGACCCTGAGGACGCCAAAACCTGGAAATCAATCTGTCCTTCTCGTAATGTAACCCGTAATTTGTCTGTAAGTGATCGTTGCTGTTTTTGATCTTGTATTTATAAATATTTTGTAATAACGTTTTTAAATTGGGACCACAGTAATTGGCCTTCGGCTGTTGTGGCACCCCTGCCTGTATTTGTTGTAATATTTTTCTTATTGTATATATATTCTTATTGATATTTTTGTATATATATTCTTATTTATATTTTTCTTATTGTATATATATTCAGGCAAAACTAATAAAACATAAAACATAAAACAATAACAGGAGAAGAAAACTGGAAATGAAAGTAAAGTTGTTTGTATTCAATAAGTACATGTGGGGCGGTTTAGATTTAATGAGATATTGTCTCCTGCAGGGTCTTATCTTGATTCTTCTGCTCTCACGATTACTAAGTACATGTGGGGCGGTTTAGATTTCATGAGATATTGTCTCCTGCAGGCTCTTATCTTGATTCTTCTGCTCTCACGATTACTAAGTACATGTGGGGCGGTTTAGATTTCATGAGATATTGTCTCCTGCAGGGTCTTATCTTGATTCTTCTGCTCTCACGATTACTAAGTACATGTGGGGCGGTGTAGCTTTAATGAGATATTGTCTCCTGCAGGGTCTTATCTTGATTCTTCTGCTCTCACGATTACTAAACCTGGACATGGAGGGGGAGCATTACAGTTGGTAGCGAAGCAGGGTTCCATAATAATCGGTACGTAACACCTGCAAAAAAGTTAAGCTGATTCCCTTTTAGCTCTTAAAAAAAGACTCCGTTTCGTTCACCAAGATTTGGGGTCCAGAAACTCACATGTTCGGGGAGTAGGTCACAGTTTCTAAGACTATCTGTGGAGTAACATTGTACTGAATTTTCCGTAGGGAAGCCCGACTAAACTAGTCATTTCTTTTAAATCCCTTGTCTGCCACAATTTCGTCCTATTAGATTATAAACTTTTCCTTTAAATGTGGAAAAACAAAATAAGCCACGTGACTTACAAATCTTCTACTGCGTTCTAACTTGATAGACACCCCATTAGGGAAAACCTTGAGTTAAGACCTTTGACAATTCATCTCTCACAGAAGAAAAGATTAAGGCCAATGCACAGCAAACAAAAGGGCAATACGAAGTGAACAGTGGAAGTTCAGGAGGATTAATCCGCTTAGAAGCGAACGAGGTACGATTAGTATTAGCTTTGCTCAACACTCCTTCTTCATAGCATGCTTTACGGAATAAAAACCTCTAACCATGAATATATATCAACTCAGGTCCGCATCATCAATGCTGGCTCACTGGAGGTAAATGGTGCTCATGCTGGAAAAAATGGCAACACTTCCCCAGTGTGGGAAAAGGGGTCTGCCGGGGGCGCAGGAGGCATTGTAGATATCCTTGCTAACAAGGTTTTCATAGCAACTGGTTCTATATTACTTATGCCTGGGAATTCTACGGGTTGCGTCAACCAAACAACAGCATCTCCTGGGTTCTTGACCATACGAGGTTTGTTGAAATCGATTCTCGCGGTCATCAATTGTACATAATCATTACATAGCTTAAATCTTGATTTAACCTGAATGTCTTCAAATCCTTTTTTTAAAAACCAAATTTAAGACTTTTTTTTCTCTTTTCTGTTGTAACATGACTTCAAGGACCTCAGGCTAATGACTAAGATAATCAGTCCAAGACACCTTTTTGCCAGAAAGCACTCATGATAATCAAAGCATTCTAAATCTTTAATTTGTTTTTACGGATGCCTTTATATCATACATTAATGATTTATTTATGAAGCGTTATTTTCTTGGCAGATCACTCGTGCAATCTCAGAATATCTTGGAGAAATATCCCAGTCTTTCCTGCCGATCCTGCAGGATTCACTTGGACTAATACAACACTGTTGCCTCCTTCCTCGATACCCAGTTCTATCGCTGTTGCCATACAAACCCAACCATCAGTCGAAATATCCACAAATGACTCCCCTTTTATTGTAACCTCTTCCCTTCCCGCGAAAAGAGAGTCATCGACAACTGCTTCCATCACAAACATATATGAACGACAAAGTAAAATGCACACTTCGTCTGCGGGTGTTAAGACATCTTTTTCTCGTAATGGCCTTTCCTCTACCAAACGTATTCAGTGCTCAACAGATGTCAAACCAGTGACTGCAACACTCTCAACTGGTAAGGATTTGGATCATTTCAAGGTTCATGCTTGGTATTTTTTTTTAAGGTAAATGAGGGAGATTTGAATTGAACAATTTGACGACACTGCATGTCATTCATTTGTCTGTCGTAGATGCAGTCTTTGCATCTTCTCCTCCTCGAGCTGATATAAGAGTGACAAGAAAATGGGAAGACCTGCTCACAAGTGTGGAATACCTAACGGTAATGTACATTATAATGATACAAAACCTCTAACGGTGTCCAATGTAACCACAACTCTTCTTTGGTGCTTAGGTAGGGAGTTGTTAAAAAAAAAAAAGAGTCCAGCAAAATATCATATCACCAAGATAAGGAAACTAAACATGCTAAGGAGCCATTTTTTTGCTGCGCTAGCAGTATTCTGCACACCTAGACAAAGGGAGCAATGCTCATCCCCTTCGAATTTTCATAAGGGAAGGACTGCGCTCCCTGTCGGCCCTTGCTCTTCCGCTGAGGATACAACTGTGGAAATTAAAATCCTGATAATACAGTCAAACAAAAGACGTGATCATTATCATTCAGTTTCATAGGATATTCAAAACATATTTTGATCGATACGAAGTATAAATATGACTTGCGGGGACGTGGTCGTACCTGGAATTTACGTGTCGTAAGTCAAGTTTATTCAGATTTTATCGTATCCAAGCTGTGATAATCAACTTAAGTAAGTTGTACTTACAAGGTAGCAATATCCTTACCTTTAATTGAGTTTAGAATTTGTAAAAGTTATTACAAACTTGCTCTGAAGTTTAAAAATGGGTTTCACGTTTCCAGGTATCCATAGGAAGCTCTCGAAACAACTCTTGGGCTGATGACGTTTACAATCTGCTTCAACGCCTTCGAACATTAGTGGAAGAGGAACCGTTAACGGAACGGCATCTTAACGTATTCCTGAAAATCCTTCAACAGTTTGGAATGGCTCTTTCCATGATCCCAAGCGAACATCAAGAAACTATGAAAGTAAATTTTTAGCCTTTCTTATTATAAGTTATATTCTTAACATCAAAAATATATTACTTCTAAGGAGTGGATTTTTTTTTTAAATTCGTTTAAATCTTTAACAGGTTTTTTTCTTGAAAAGATCAAAATAAACTTAAAGGAAACTTCCACTCGTGGAACAAATTGTCATTAAATTATTAAGAATATTCTTAAAGTTTAAATTTGTTTTCATCTTCCTATTTGCGGATGGTAATAGTGGCAACCGTAAAACGTCGAACGAGCCAACAAGCCTTCCACGAAATTCAAGCATCAATTTTGCTTGCATTTGTTTACAGTTTATATACTTTTCGGTCCTTATTTCCTAATTTTTCCCAGAAATATTCATAATACAGCAAACATTAGCGAAAATCTATTCTACCTTTGGAGGTTGCCTTTAAGAGTTACGCTGTAAATCGTAATTCTGCGCACCTTTTAATTAAAGATAAATTGTCAATTGTTTATTTTTAGAACATTGTTACCTCCCTCATAACAACGGCAGAATCCAGCTTCGAAAAGAGAAACGAACAAGTGTGGAGCACTACAGAAAAGGTCTCTTAGGTTATACTGTTTCATCCTACTTCGTTTTGCCCGAGCAAATACCGCGACTGTAATCACGGGAGACAAACCATCCGCGATTTCCCTATGATTCACGAACATCCATTCAGATTAGCTACAGCTCGAGGCTCCAGCGATATCTATGGCGGCGATAAATTACACGAAATTCAAGATTGAGAAGTTAAAACTTTGAACTGCGCGACAGTCATCGCGCCTTATCAGTGACGATCCTTAATCAAAGTGGGATGCTTCAGTAAAATCGTGACATGGCTAATCACGAAGTATGAGTTACACCTTGTTACCATCATGTTAACCCGTTTTCTCTCCCGTTATTATGCAGCTACCAACAGTCTTGAGCGTATTGGAGAACATTACGTTAGCGCTATGGAGAATCACCTCGGTAAATGAACCCTTCAAATTTGAGCATTACTCCCAAAGGACTGGTAAGTAATCATGAAATTCAGGTGAATCGTAGGCCGGCTGTGGAAACAACTGTTCACGCTTATGTCTCAGCTTGAGATTTGCTATCTTTAGAATCAATCGAATGATGCAAAATTATGCAGTGCCACTTGATTAAATTAATAATTCTGTTCTAGAACAGAAAAAAATTCATGTTTGCTCAAAATATTCTCACTTTTTTTAACCAGCGAAACGGCACAGCCGCTGTCTAACTTATCTAACTTTATCATGTCTTTTTCCTTTCAGTTGTCCAAGTCGTTAGTTTAAAACCCACAAGAAAAAAAAGTGTAACACACTTTATGCTTCCTGACATTTCTAGAACAAACCAGTCGATTTGGAAAAACGAACACAATGCTGTTCTTATACCGTCATTTAACGATGGTAAGCCATAGCGGGATTTGCTGTTGTTGACTTACAACGCTCTATTTTAAGTCTATCCATCTCTTTTGTGTTCGCAGGATGTTGCCGTGCAACTTTGTTTGAAAAAATAAAAAACCTGATGTATGCCTTGCTTCCACTGAAGGCGTGAAATCTTCATTTAAAAAAACAAAACAAAACAAAACAAAACAACAAAAACGAAACAAAAAAAAGAACACACACACACACACACAAAAAAAGAAAAAAACCCAGAAGATCCTTGCTTGGGTTATGGAGTACTTTCTTTTTAAATAGGTGTCGTCGTCGTAGTGTCCACGATACTGTACAGAAACATTAGCAGTATTCATCCCACTACTTTTAAAGAAAACCGAAATGAAAGGTAGGTCGCTAAAGCAACCTTTTTTTATGCAAAGAAAAGACCATGATCGGCTGACAGTTTAAGGTTAGAGGACTAGAGACTCATTGTGCAAAAGTTCTGATATATGACCCAAACCTTTTTTTACTTCCTTGTAGTACGTTGTTCAATATGAAACATACTACAATTGCATTTCTTATTTCTGAAAGTTCTTTCAGATTCATCTTGGAAACTTTCTTGACTTTCCACTAGTTCGTAATTGATTGACTAAAACTAACAGTTGTCTGATGATGAATTTATTTATTTATCTTAATGAAATTTTGACAAGAAGAACAGATTTAGCAACGCTGCCTGAAGAGGGTTCCTTTAGAGTTAATAAGAGAAGGGTTTAATACAATAAATCCAAAACATATCTGTCCTTAAAATTTGATACGACACGAAAAATAGCTGGCAGCCTGTACACTAAACTCGCTAAGTGTATAACATTATTGTGGAGAAGCGCTAGTCTTAAACATGATCTAAAGTAATTCATCTGTTTTAGGGAAAAGAGTCATCTAGTTTCTGACATCCTCTCGTGTTCTGTACAGCACAATGGACCTTTGATTGAGAATACGCCCTTTTTTCCCGTTGAGCTGCAATTCCATCATCGGGTATGTGTGCCATCATTTCTCAACACCATGGTTTTGCTTGCAAAGACCAATTTTTGGGCTTGCATCTGTTCCACATTTCAGCATGTTTGAATACCAGGTGATTTATACCAGGGTGTGTTTAGAGCAGTAAAAGTAACAATCACTTCTCTTATCCTTTTCCCACAACTGTGTATCAACTATCTAGCTAAAAGAGCCGGAGTCCTTTCGTTTAGTTTAGGTATTTAAGTGTGTGTTTCTCTTGGAAAAACGACAGTAACATTTTTGTTTTACTTTTCCATTTGAAACAACATAGAACGGGAGAATTCCTCACTCACCAATCTGTGTATTCTGGGATCATCAAATCAGGTATGGATATGGACGCGTGTTTTAGAGGCATGCAAGGAAGGAGGTAGCAAAGGGATGCAAAGCTTTCATCTCTTGGCGGTGCGGAAAACGGATATAATCAAGGGGTTGTGCTTTTTGTTTTTAAAACAAAATACGAACTTCTACACAACAACAACGAATTTTACAAGTAAACAAAGGACTGACAATAATCCCTTTATCTTTTTGCAGTGCTTGGTCCACAGAAGGCATCAAGACCGCTCAAGTAGATGGCACCCAGGCAAGATGTCATACAACTCATCTCACAAGCTTTGCAATTCTTACCCAGTACACAGAAGTGCAGGTAACTTTGGTAAATATGATGCGATAGCACTCGACCATTACTATTGGGTCGGGCTGGTAACTGCTAGAAGATCTGCAGATAAATAATTTATAATTACCATACTATCAAAATTATCAGTCAATCAATCAATCAATCAATCGAAATATTTAAATTTTGAGAGTAAAATGACTCATGCTGACATAAAAGCTACTCCAAATATAACGAGACAGGTAACAAAGTTGATGACGGACGCCCAACTACCAGCAAAATCAAAAATAATTCCCTGATACGATGTAATGGCTGGTGAATGGCTATAAAAATATCGCCTTCTTAAGTAAACGGAACATTTTAAAAAGGATGTGTAGCATGTTTACCAGGTTTATTGAAAGCTACGTCGCTTACTACAATGCCTTTTATGACTACAATCGAAAAAGGGAACAAGTTGAGATTTATTCCAACTGCTCAAGTATTTTATTTTTGGTGGATGCACTCGTAGTATCACCTGGTCCATTCAATCCTTTTTCATGCAGATTTCAGCTGAGGATGAATTCGTGCTCGGAATCATAACATATGTCGGATGTGGAGTCTCCATCGCCTGTCTCTTTGCGACATTACTGGTATATCTTGCATTTGAGTGAGTACGTCATTGATTCTCGCTTATTCCATAGACCTAGAGGGGGGGGGGGATGAGTGAGAAATATCGAGCCTTTTACAATGAAAAGGAATTGCAACATATTTCTGCATTTACGTCTAGACATTATTTTTGTTACCAAAGACCAAGTTAATATATTAAGAAGGATTGTAAATCGGTAGTTCGGTCTCTTAATAAGGATTCTGAAGGGTGGAGTAAACAACAACGTGGGAACTTAACGTCTGAATCCTGATAACCGGTAACAGAATTAGTCAGATTCAACCAAGTTAAAACAAGCCAAGTGGAACTTGTCAGAAATAAAGTGATAATAATGTATATATCTAATGTATTCTAAAATTCAATTCTGTAACCCTTTCTATTACCCTTCGTGGGGGACTGGCCACACTGTATTGAGCGGTTTAAAATCTTTTGAAGGCAACATAACAGCTGCCCCCACAATGCTAGGAGCTACGTTCCCTACTCCTCTCAAAAAGTGCGCGGGTTCTTTCACATCGATCCCTTGCTAACCAGTAAAGAGAATATGCAGGAGACGGGGCCTATCTTTCTCATCCGAGAATACTAGTGTTTTTTTCCATTTGTAGATGTCATAGCAAAGACAGCACATTCTCCTCAGTTATTATAAGAACCCGAGTGTCGCTCAGAGGCTCTCAAACCGTTGACTTCCCGCATGACAGTCTGATGCTCTACAACACGAGCTAACTAATGACTGCTAACTAATGACTGCTAGCCAGATTTATTACTCAGGCAGATAACAGTGCTTGTTTTAGACTCGAAGTTTTGTCTTTCTCTCTCAGGTCGCTCTCCACTGAAAGGCATAAGATTCACATGAACTTGGCTCTGGCTCTTCTGCTGGCTCAGTCGCTGTTCTTAACTGGTGTAAACGCTATAGGACACAAGGTATTGCAGATGTGACTGAATTCTCCTAAACCTAGTTCATTTTCTTGGCGGATTTATCAGAGGAGTCAGTTACCTTACAAAGTTTGTACTTTATTTTGGTCCTTTAAGTGGCTTTTGACAAGAGTACTTGTCGAGGACAAATCGTCAATCCTCCCTCGGTCATGTACGTAGGCTTTTAAGAAAAACGATCGGGTGTAGATTCAGGGAGTTTTAATGGTCGTGATTTTCGATCAACAGCACAACTGACGATTACCTCTGAAATTTTATGATCTTGCTGAAGGAGTTTTATCACAAGAAAAACCCTAAATTTTGATTATATATTTTCCCAGACTCTTTGCCGCGTTCTTGCCGTCTGCCTGCATTACCTGTTTTCAGCAGTATTCACTTGGATGTGTGTAGAAGGTTTTCATCTGTATGTGATGATTCTGTCCGTGTTTCGTGCTGACAGCGTCAAAATGAAATACTACTATTTGACTGGCTGGGGTAAAGAAAAATTTTGGATTGTTACATTGTTCCAAATCTATTTATATTTAATCAAGCACCGTTTTTCATCTTCGCTGTTGTAGCTTTGCTCCATCCCAACTAACATCTAGAAAGGAATTAACTAAAATGGCAAAGTGAATTTGATGTGTTTCAATTAAACCGGTTACATGAATATTTTAAATACAATGTTCATTTACGCTTTAAAATTTTTTTAACAATTTATATGCGAAATCAAAATCTACAAATGAAGCTGTTTCTACCTCGTCATGTTTAGGAGTCTGGATAAAAAGAAAAGTCCCAAACTAAAAGCTTGTTATTTCGCAGGTATTCCAGTTATTATTGTCGGTTTAGCTGCGTCAATTCACCCTGAAGGATACGGAACAATAAAATCGTAAGTGTATAAAGAGCCAGAAAAAGAAAGAAATGGAAACAAAGTTCCAATGATTCAGGCCCTTAGTATGTGAAAATTTGTACCATAGTATTCACTTTTTTTTATTCTATTTTTTCAGATGCTGGTTGTCTATTCATGATCAATTCATTTGGGTTTTTCTGGCGCCTGTTGTTTTAGTGATTGTGGTGAGCTGGGTTTCGTTTTTCTTAGCATTAAAAATGGANGAGTTATTATTGTCGGTTTAGCTGCGTCAATTCACCCTGAAGGATACGGAACAATAAAATCGTAAGTGAATAAAGAGCCAGAAAAAGAAAGAAATGGAAACAAAGTTCCAATGATTCAGGCCCTTAGTATGTGAAAATTTGTACCATAGTATTCACTTTTTTTTATTCTATTTTTTCAGATGCTGGTTGTCTATTGATGATCAATTCATTTGGGTTTTTCTGGCGCCTGTTGTTTTAGTGATTGTGGTGAGCTGGGTTTCGTTTTTCTTACCATTAAAAATGGATCTTAAGTTTCCTGAAAACCCATCGTTGTCCCAACAGACTGTTAAAAAAGAACACAAAGGAATTTGCAGATTATTTAAAATCTTAAATCTTTTACCGCGCACAGCTGCAAACACAATTTCACCTCGACGGAACATTTTTTTAACCAAACAAAATTCGTGATTCAAATGAAGTACTAACTACTCTTGAACGACTTTGCCAGAAAATATATAATTTCTACTTAACCAATTGATCATCTCTATTTTAAAGATTTCAAGCACTTAAAACTAAAAAGGCTGCGGGAGCAAGTTTCAATCAGGGGGAGAAAACATGCAATAATGTTAGGATATTCAGAGGGGATGTTGGGGAATGTTTCGCGAGTTCTTGAGTAAAGTATCACAACTCCCTGTCCTACTCTTCTTAGCCAGTGACTGAGTTGTTAATACCGTGACTGCACAGAAATATGTTTGTGTTCAGGTTAATTTCATGGTTCTTGTTGCCGTGATAAAAGTCGTCGCTAATTCCGCGTTACCGTCAAGGGCAAATACAGACTTTGGAAATGTCAAGTGAGTGTCATTAGAATTAAAACGAGATATATTATACTCTTACATTGTGCTGAAGGATTTTACCGTGTATGAACGAAGTTATCTATCTTATCCATGATAGCCTCGACGATTTTATATCACTGGAGACAGGGAGAGTAAGGAGAATTTTACGTCTTTAATGTAATCTATTCCTTCTGGTTCTTGTCTCTCTCTTTTCAACCGCTTTGTTCACACATAAAGCCCAAAATTCGTAATCAGTCGATAAAATGGTGCAATCGTCCAAGTGGAGTCAATCATTAGGAGGACTGGTTCGGTAATAGTGAGTGACGTTTCAATAACCCTAACTGACATCATTGTTAGAGTCAAGTGAGAAGTCGAAAGTCGGACTCGTCAAAACTGATTGTTCAATTTCTCTAAAATACTAGTATTGTATACTTTCCTTAAAATTCGCCTTCAGTAGGATTACGAAAAGAAAAAATAATTTCCATCTTTATCCAATTCTTCTCTTGCTGGACACAACTTTTAATATTCAGGAAGTTTTTGACATTAAGGGTTTTTCTCCTCAGGGCTGGAGTCAAAAGCGCAGTTGTTCTACTACCTCTGCTTGGAGTCTCCTGGGTGTTCGGGCTTCTTACTTTAAATGAAAAGATGATAGCTTTTCAGTACATATTTGCCTTTTCCACCAGTTTCCAGGTAATGTTCATTTCATAGAGGTAGTTCATGGTTTTTATCCTCAGCTGGTCACAAAGGAAAAGCAACTGAAGCGTGGAATTGAATTTTTCCCTACACCCTCGGCCCGGCTGGAAATCAACAGTAAATCAGTCGTTGCGAAAGATGTCATCCACCAAGCCAGTCTGCTAAAACTGAAAGACAGGCAGCTCATTCTTTTGCACCGGGACACGAACTTGTCGCATGACATTGTATCCAATGAGAAAGCTTACATAAATATTTCAAATGCGTCCAATCGCTTTTCACAAAAATACTGAAGCAATGCAAGTGGCTCGAGTAACAGCTGTAATTTTATTCCGTGACACCAAATACCTTGGGTGTAAAAAAGACATTGAGAAGGATGACCTTTAAAATTAGTCTCATGTAAGGCATCCATTCTTTTCGCTTAGACCTCTTTTGGTCAGATAGTAACAGCATTTCTCACTCCATCTTTATGCGCATCATATTCAAGCTGATTAAGTAAACTTTCTTTCAGCAGGAAGAACCGTTACAGGAAATTTAACCTCGCCTTTGCTTTTTCAGGGCATGTTTATCTTCTTGGCTCACTGTGTAGGAAGCAGCGACGTAAGGGTGTTATCTTTTCATTTCTCTTTGCATTTTTATCAAGCGTAATGAAAATTTTAACAATACCAGAACAATAAAGGTAACAACGTAATGAAACCTCTTGCCTGTTAGGTTCGCTCTGCGTTTAAACGGATGAGGCAAAGACATATGTGGGCCCGTGGGTCAGAGAATGCTCCGTCGCATATTCCTTCGGTGAGTCAACATGTAATGGAAATCAATACGCACCATGGGTAATAAGCTATCCTGGATTTGAAATGGCGGAGAAACGGAAACATGAGCAAGATCTCCTAGTGCAATCTTTAAGTGATTGCAATACCTAAAAAAAAAAAAAAAGAGCCAAAATATCCCCCGGAAAATTTCGCAATCATATAAGAACCTAGAAGAAAAGTACAATATCAGGAAAAAGCTTCATAACGAAACAAAGGTGTCGTCGTTAATTAACGTAAAAGAACAGTTTATTAGTTTGAATCCATATCACTAGGGGTAACAACACCACCTTACAGCGACTGTCGCCGTCAGCAACCCCTTCACCGTGCCTTTTGGTCCTTCACCCCCTGACCCCGCTCTCCCTCCAGATTATTCCTAGTTTTGTAATCCTCAGTATAATTGCATTGAGAAAACCGTCGTAAAATCCAATGTGAACTAATTGCATTTCCCACATGTATTTGAAATAAAGTTGTTGTTATCATCACTATCGGCAATTCTTTGGTTTCAGAAAGTAAATGTTCCTGTTTCAAATGGAATCATCTCAAAAGGAAATATTTTAGAACAAAAGGGTACGTTGTTTTATCACGGTAGTGGCCTCATATATTCATCTAACGACAAGGAAAACAAACGGACTTTTTCAAAGAGACTCACTCGTGAAACCATTTCTGAACAACACAGGTCTTTTTAAAGAAAGAAATCAATTCAAAGTTTCGTGGAAACGAACGGCTTCAATGAAACAAAGATAAATTGTAAGCTGTCTTTCTAATGGGTAAATTTCAAATTTTAACAGAGAATTAACTCAAAGCCATTCATTAAGATAGCATCTACGTAAAGAAACTGTCTTCGAGAGTGCCGAACGTTCAGAGTGACTACCGTAATGCCTTTTCGTGCCCTTTTCTCTTAGAAAAGATACGAGCGTCTGTATTCAGCCAGACTAACAGCAAAGTGGTTAAAGTAAAGGTATGTCTTGATTTGCCTCCGTGGTAAGCTGCCTAAAATTGTGTTGGTCTTCATGACCTTGTTAGGGAGAGAGTATTTAAAAAAAGTGGACTTCTTTGATTGAATTACCATTGCGATAGACAATTTACCAGATACAATGTATATATGAAGTTGATATATATTTACAATTTACCCCCGAAACGTTCACAGTGTAACGGGTTTAGTTTGGGAGAGTGAACACAAATTCATTGTACGTATACTCAACTAATGCAATGGTTTCGCAAGTAGTGCATAACCAATCCTTCACCTATAGTAGATTTCACTTTAAAAGATTTACCTGGAGTAAAATTTAAAAAAGTGCGATCACTTGTGTGGCTGATACAATTGAATCGTTTCTTTTCTTCCCTTTTTTTCCCAGCCACCGAAAGACAACTTTGAAGGAGCTTGTTTACAAATAAATAGAACTTATCAGATGTCACGGAGAGAAACCACTGAATCTAAAGATTGTTCGAAAATGACATCACTAAACTGCCCGCAGGTAGAGTAAATACAAAATAGAAAAAAATAGGGGTAAGCGGCAATCAACCAAACTGACCACGAGTCTTGTTCATGACTGTTACCTGTTTTATTTTAACATCGCTAGCAACAAACTGAAAGTGAATGAAACAGGACTGATGGACTAATTTGATCTCATCTTCTAATTCTATACTTTTCAGTTTTAAAGCTGTTGGGAAGAGGAAAACCGATTCGCGAACGTTGCAGCAACCTTCATCTAAGTTCAGTATTTTTAACTTTCTTAACTTTCCTTCTTCTTGATGGCTTTTCTATTGTCTCCGTTTATAGGGTGCAGTTTCACCAAAAGAATCTCCAAAACGAAGATACTCATCCAAGTTATCGTAATTAGCAGGGTATTGGATATTCCATATTAGATAGAAATCCTACCAAGAAAAGGGGACCTGATATTTGGTGCCAGCTGTCACACAAAACTGACTTGGACAAATTCCAGTTAAAGAAGTGGTTATCTGCAAGACCCCGCTAGCTCCTTCAACGACAAGAATGCGCTTGAGATGCAACAATGGATTTAGTTATTGATTAACTTTGTTAAATTAATCAACAACAATTGGATTTCCTCCACCTTTCTTGCTTGCTGTAAATAAACACTTATTCTTTGTAACCTTTCTTTTTTGTCTTTGTTGCAAGTAATTCACTGAGATGATTAACAAAAGTAACATTCTCACTTGCTCTGTGTCTTGTAAGGTAAGGGGCAAGAACAACAAAAAGCTAAATATAATGATAATAATCACAATACAAAATTTTTACAACGCCCTCTTTTAGAGCTCCAAGGCGCTTGCTTTACAATAAAATGCTTAAACTTAGTAAATAATAAATTCGAAAGATTCTAAAGCAAAACTACAAATTAAAATCGCGCTTAAAAAGATGTTTAAAGATTTCTCTTAAAAGGTGTAAGATTTAAACTACATTTTATATACTGTGGAAGATTATTCCAAAGGTCAGCTGCGCAAACCGAAAAAGCACGATCACCATAAAATGTTAACCTCGATCTAGGTGTCACTAGCAAGTTCATGGTTGATGCTCGTAAACTCCTAGATTGCTTGTAAGTTTGCTACAAATCGTGAATACAGCTGGGACTTAAATCATTTAAAGATTTAAAAGTCAACAGTAGGATTTTAAGATAAATTCGCTGCTCCACGGTTAGCCAGTGTAGTTCTCTCAGTAAAGGAGTAATACGGTCATATCAACGACCACATAAGATCAGACGCGCTGCACAGTTCTGAACTAACTATGGTGTGTGAATTAAGTATTTCGCAAGTCCATATGTGAGAGAGTTACAGTTACGAAGGTGGAAAAAGGTGGATTTACAAATGGCATCAACTTGACGTTCTATGTTCGGCTTATAGTAAAAAATAACACCTTGAGCTGTCAACCACTGTGAAAGAGAGGAGCTGAGAGACTGGCTGATGCTGCGACCCAATGACCAAAGCTCAGTTGTGTCACTACTAAGTTTAAGTTTATCCAAAGACATCCATGTCGCAATATCCTGTACACATGCTTTTAAAAATTCTCGGCACAATCACAGACGAATCAGAGTCGAATGATGAGTAAACCTGAGAGTCATCCGCGTAGAGGTGAAAGTTCATAAATTATTATGTCTTCTTATAACTTCACCAAGAGAAAACTTATACAAAAGATATAAAATAGTGCCACGAACAGAACTTTGGAGAACACCTTACATTAGATCAGACCTGGTGTAACTAGTTCCATTCACGCAGACAAATTGACTCCGTAAGCCAGGTAGGTTTTGAACCACGCGAGGACCCTTCCCTTGATACCAAACGGCATCTTCATTCTGTGGAGTAGAAAACTGTGGTCAACAGCGTCAAAAGCTGCTGGTAAATCGAGCAATAACAAAACTACAGTGTGACCATTGTCCACAGCTCGTAAAATGTCGTCCTTTACTTTCAAAAGGGCGGTCACAGTACTATGCATTCTCTTCTAAGCAGATTGTAGTTTCTCATTGAGATTGTTCTCATTAATATCCTGCACAGGTTGGGAGGCAACCTGTTTAGACACCGGACGAAAGTTTTTAAATTCTTCAGGATCTAAGTTAGACTTATTTAAAGGTGGATTAATCATAGCGCACTTAATTGCATTAGGCATAAAAGCCACAACATTTAGTAAATAAACCACTTCAGGCGGCTGGTATGTCGGCTGATAATGTCTACGCCGGGCTGAGAGATTGTCCGAAACATGAATATTTGGCCGAGAAGCGACGCATCGAGGGCAAATATGAGATTTTGAGGACAATCTCTCAGCCCGGCGCGGACATTATCAGCCGACATACCAGAAAGCCAGAACGGGGTCGTTTATTTTATAACCCTTCCATTAATTTTCACATCGCAATTAAACTGCGCGTAAACACCGTAAAAAAGCCAGTGGTGATTTGATGGCAAATGCGCGTGATTGACGCAAGCAAGCAAAAAAAAAACGAGTTTAGTTTTCTTCCATGTAAACAGGAGAACGGAAAAGTTGAAACTCTTGTGTTAACTATGTTTCTTTTTCACGGAAAAAATCGGAGGACAAATATCGACGCGGACGGGGGTTATTGCGTGATAACTGTCCTGTGATTTTGCACCACGTGACGTAAAGTAACCAATAACATCGCGCCAAAATTAATGGATGGGTTATAACGGTAATTACTGGCAACAAAGTAGGCAAACATTTCGTTAAGACAGAAGCTGACAGAGAATCAAGAGCACAAGTTTTAACTTTGATTAATTTAATCAGATGAGCCAT